ATTTTTTGAACCAGGCTGTAAACATGTTTTTTTCTGCTGTAAAGTTGGGCATTTTAACATGGGGAGTCTATGGGATTGACTCCCTTTTGCAGCCAGCCTCTAGCGGCCAGTTGATGAATTGCAGTTTAAGTCACTTCCGTGTTGGCTTCACGAGAGAGAGCGGGAGGTTGACGCTTGGTCCAGACGCAGGCGACGACACAGTTGGTTTTCGCCACTGCTAATTCTTTGACATTGGCTTGGTGTGACTGGGACTTAACAAAAGTTATTGTTTTTTTTTTACACAAGTTCTTCAATGTCAGTTTGGTGGGTCTGGACTTTAACAAACTTCTACATCTTATTGAAACTCACTACAGTATCTCACAGGAGATGGATCATATGTGCACCAGTGTCTACTGGGCTCCACATTACATGACTGCTTATTTGCATAATATTGAACTTTTCTCAACTAGCTTCACCATTTGTCACCATTGTTGAAAATGACAGATTTTTGTCACTGGAAACCACTATACGTGTGAACGCCTCTCACGACTGACTGCATAGAGCAAAACCAGGAAGCTGTGAAATAAGCAAAGATATTTAAAAAAATGTGTTCCAGTTTTAAGTCAAGTCGGTGGTTAAATTGTCATTTCAAAAGCTTGTTTGGATCTGCTCATAGGAACGGGTTCTGATTGTGTTGGTCTGGATCTCCAAGCGTGGATGTCGTTGACAGGGGTAGCAGCGGCTGCGGCAGGTGTCCGGGGACCAGCGGCGGGACCTGCGCAGACTGTGTGAAGGTAGTAGGCAGGGAGCTGGGCTGGTTGCTGGAAGCCATGGGCAGAGAGGCATTAAATGGGAGGGATGTGGGTACAGGAGATGTGGAGCTGGGGCGCATCTGATTTAGTGTGAGACGGGCCGGTTCCTGTTGGAACGGATTAGAGGCCGATGGAGCAGTTATTCCTAAATGGGAAAGAGTCCGCAATCAGTTAAAATGTTATGGATTTAGACACACATGACAACAAGAAGTTTGATAATGATGCATTCAGACCTGATAAAAATGGGTTAAAGTTCTTGGAAGGAGGGTTGGAGGGAATCAAAGAATCCAGGTTGACGAGTGAAGCTCCGGTGGGACCCAAAAATGCCTCTGGAGTACTGCAGGTTCGAGGAGCTGTTTTTGGTAGACCTTCGC